TTTTATAAATTTATGATTTGTTTAAAGTTTCACTATTATTTGTAGTCATATAATATAATTATATTCTAAACATAGAGATTCTAACATTTGTTACATGTTACAAAAATATTAGAAAATAAAAATGATGCAAAAATTATTTTTTCTGTTGTTACTGTATAGCAAATTGATAAAAAGTATGTACCAAAATTGTTTTAAATGAATTTCTTAGGGACAGTAAATGAATTCATTACATGTACTAAAGAATGATCAATGTATTTATTATGAACTTCAAATGAATTCTTTTTAATAGTCTTTCAGCAGCTCTCCCCACAATAGAAATGAAAAGTTTCTTTAAAAGAATTCTTTAAGAATTCTTTGCGAACTCAAGATACATGACATAACCTGTTGAAATTATGAATTCATTAAGAATTCATTTAGCTCATATCATGACAACCTGTAGAATCCATTAAAATATTCTGTATTCAAAATAAATTCATTTAGAATGAATAATGCCTGCTGGGAAAGATATCAAATTTGAATGAAGACTGGGTCCACCTCATTGTGTGCACAAACTGCAGCAGAATATTATTAAAGGATATTTCTAACTTAAAGATCTTATCACCAGCCGTATAGAGCAAGCCAAAAACAAAAGAAGGTTGCTTTTTTTGCACGACAGTGACGAAGGGATATAATTCTACGAACATTTCTGTAATCAAATATGTATATCTTAGTAATATGTAAAGCAAAGTCGCTAAAACCGTTGCAACCGCTAACCGCAAAAACTACTGAACCGATCTTGCTGAAATTTTTCATACCGATTTTTAATGATTCCAAATGGTTTTCGTATAGCTTTTTCTTAAAAAAGTAAATAACAGTAGCAACAAATGGGCTCAAAGTTTTGCAAAAACAAGCTAGCTCTGCGCATTAGTTCAATCACTTCTACGAGGTAGTGTCAAGGTAATATTAAAGCCACCTGCAATCAAAGACAGTGAAGAGTGGTTATAAGATGACCCATCGAGTTGTCGATCATCGTAGCCGTTCATTGAGTGCCACGGAGAAACAGGCGTTCGGAACGTTAACGTCTCCGATGGATTACCAGAAGACGTGTCTAGCCAGACAACAACCTGCTCCAACACTTC